TCAAGAGGAAAGCCCCAGAAATGTATATGATGTGATGCTAAAACGCATTTTGCAGGTAGGATATCTTTATGCTGAGTGATAGCTCATCTCATGAAATAAAACCCAAATAAGGGAATGTTTATACAACTCATAAGAGGATATGAGCTTCTGATCTTTCTCAAAAGGAGAAGCACTCTGGTCCAGAATTGCTGTCTGCCCCAGAATGATGGTCAGTGCAAATACTCACATGCTCACAGGATCCTCTTCAGCACCTCCTGTCAGGGAGGTGTCATTACCATAAAAAAAGCTCTTATCCAAAGGTGTTGACATGTCTGAGTAGCTGGTGACACCCTTGTGTGGTCAGCAGAACATTTTCATACTATGTGTGTGACAATTCTTGTCTTTTATGTGCTGGTATGGCTCATTGATGACCAGTGCTTTTTGGGTTAAAAGTTTTTGCATATTGTACTTTTACATACACTTACTCTTTTCCTATCCCAACTGCTCTGTCAACAAGACTAAGTTTGTCTTCTGTCAAGTCTTTGGCACCTTTGGTAATGCTTATCCCACTCCCCTCTTTTGTTTTCAGTCATATGATATTAGAACTGTACATGGAAATTAAGAAATCTAAAAGGAGAAATTAAGCTTATTTTGTAGGACTTTTTGCTTAAGATTCTTATTTTTCTGACTTTCTGGCTGAGGACACTACTCTGCTTTATTATAGAAAGCTTAATTCAGTCTCTCTGGGAAAATCCAGAAACAATTTTTCTTACTTACAAGTGTGCCAAAAATTGTATTAGTTTGCAAATGATTATTTTTTCCTCTTGGGGCATAACTTCAGACTAGATTGTCAGTTTTTGCAGAACCTCATAGTTCTTCTTACTCTGCAATGAAAAGAATAGGTAGTCATAAAAAAAACCCAACAAAAAACCAAAACAAAACAACAAAACACCCCGCACAACTTAGTCATCTGTTCAGCAGAACAGCTTTTTATGTTTTATTTACAATATATAATTTTTGCTTTAACAGACTTGGTCTCATCTGTGAAGAGATTTTCAGCATTGAGGCTTTACATGTAAATGTCAGAAGAACTTAAAACAGATGTACTATATTTCCTATTTTTAAGCACAATACAGTCCTGTATTTTCTATATGTTGTTTAAGTTTCTAGTAGAAATAGGGCAATGGTATTAGAGTTACTGGACATCCAGTATCGCACTGTAGGGTAAAGTTGCCTTTTGTATGAAATAGAATTCTTTAGATTGAAGCTCAAACACATGGCTACAAATATGACACATGTTATTTTGAGTAGGTGAATGCTCTTGTTTTTACTTTTGAATCCACTCTCATACATCTCTGAAAGTGTTCCAGAGTGGTTTTAATTTCTGTTAGAGTTGAATTTCATTGAGTGACGTTTGTAAAGGGACGAACTATTTGCACCACCTTGTCCTGTTTTGTTTTTCATTTCTGTGTTTGGCTACTTGACATTATTCATTTTCATCAATGTAGTCACTTAATCTAGGTATTAAAATTTCAAATTCTACTTGTATAAAAGCTGAAATTTGGAAATGCAGTGCTTGGCATACATGTAGCATATTAGCATGATGTAAAAATTTCATATTTGGGAAAATAATTAACTGAAAGACAGCATGTGGAGAGGTTGCCAAAGCATATGGCTGCATGCACAGTAGTTTCTCTAAAGGTGTTTATCATAAATCAGTCATTCATCACCCTGAAGTCTGGCAGATTCAAAGGCTGCCAGGTGAGCTTGCAAATGTGCTCTGTCATTCTTGAAAGACAACAGAGATGACCTAGTGCCCAGAGAGTAGGAAAAGGCAAGTGCTGTACTTGTCTTCAAAAAAGACTTAAATATACAACATGAAGAACTAGAGGCTGGTCAGCAGTGCTGTGATCTGTAGGGGAAATTATGGAACAAATAATCTTGGAATACATTTTTAGACACAAGGTGGGAAGGAGTTGCCTGAAAATGCATTTTTGCCTCACTGAAATTTTTGCTTTATCAGTGGAGTTGCACTAAATCTCCTGTCTTACTGCATTCAGGAATATATTATATAAAAGTGATGCATGCCTTATGGATACATTACTGATCCAGAAGTTAGAGGTATGAGGTAACTGTTTTTATGATGCATGTGGTAATTTTATACTAATAAGAAAGGTAATCCTTGTATTGCACAGTGATTGCATCTTGGTGCACAGACCAGTGGTTTTTAATTTCCGTAGGTATATCCTTTAAATTACAAAGATGTGAAAGACAGATGTTGTCATCTAATGATCTGATTTTAAAAATAGATTCAACTAAGAATGCAAACTACTATCAAATAAAATCAGATATTTGGGGGAAAAACGCATTCTGTATTGCATCTCGAATGGAAGTGTGCTGAAGTTGCAGTGTCTGTAACCATAGACCACGAAACGTTTATCCCTAGATAAACTCATTGTGCTAGTACAGTAAATTAATAAAATTTTCAATTTGATTTAGAAAAAGCCAATATCTAGAACTGTCTAGTATTAGTTAAATTTTCCTGCTTACTTGTTTAGCTTCTGGTTTTTTTGGTTAGGCAGTTATTCTCTACAGCTCCTCCCTAATGATTGACCTTAATGACCTTAATGAGTCTCCTTAAATGCTTAACTGGAATCCAACGTTCACTCTTAGGAAAATAAAAATTTGTTTTCAGTCATTTCTGCAATTTCTGGCTATAGATAAAGCCAATAACAAGTTCAGGTTATGCTGGGCCACCTCTTGAAAACCTGCTTTTTGTTGCATGAATTTACAATTGTGTAACATTTTTATCAAAGATGGGTTAAGCAAGACTATCTCCACTTTTTTTTTTTTTGTCTGGTTGACTTTTTCCTTTTATTAGTTTCAGTGTTAAAGATATGTACAGGTTGTCCAGGATAAAAGCAGCTTAATCAGCAGTGGCACTTCTATTTTCTCTGAGAAACTAGGGGGTAATATAGACAGCTGCTTCTGACTTCAGAGCTGACAGAAGCTCAGTCTGGATAAAATCAAGATGTTGTCAAAGCAATCAAAAAATGATGGTTTTAAGACTTTTTTATTTACTATGCCATTTAGTTATTCAAGTTAACAGTCCAAATAAATCACAAATTTCTGCCAAACTTGGGGAGCTGCAACTCCCAAGTTGTTTAGTTTAGTTTCTCTGCTTTGTGAACTAGAAATATGAAGTTGCCTGGTCACTTACAGTTTCGTGAAATCAGTATGAATTACTCTAAGTAATTGCTGAGTAAACAATGTCTACATAAGTGATGTAAAATTCAGATTCATCTTCTGGAGACAGTAGTGCTTTCCATGTAGTTTCCAAATGAGAACAAATTATTTTACAGTTTATAAATTAAGCGACTGTAGTGCCTTCATGCTTAACCATGGTATGTCAGAACTTCAGCATCCTTTAACCAATGACATACTGAAATAATCTTGTTAAGGCTGCAGAAATGATGAAGGAATCAATCAAGACTTAGACCTTGCTATATTGTATTAATATGCTCTTTACTTTGAAGAATGTACAGTCTAAATGAGGAAAAACAGATGTGGACTTCGGGTTATGAAGCACAGCAGAAGACAGGAAAAATGGCAAGCACAAGGGTCACTGACATGGCATTATCTTGTTATGGACATACTTGTGAAAGTTTGGTGTAAATTAAAAAGAACAGGCTTAAAGAATGAGCTTTAAATTAAAGAGTGAGGGGGTCCTAGGCAGTGAGAGGAGTGAGTGCTGCTGGAGGAGAAGTAAGCAGAGAAAAGCAAATGTGGAAGAAGTGGGGAAGGCTGGAAGGAACACTTGGTGCAAAATGGAGATGATCTGGTCAACTCTGAACAATTTCAATGTGTAAAGAGTGGTTTGCTTGCTCTTTAAATCTGTCTGTGCTGTCTGGCATTTGTCCTGCTCCTCCCCCAGCAGTGTGCTGGGGAGAGCTAGGGTATCACTGGATCATTGGGGATCCTGTTTCCCAAGGACATGAGGGAGTCCCCAGCCAAATTCTGCACCCCACGGCCTCTGCCAGACCTCGTTTTCTCCTCCTTGCCAAGCACAGAAGTCCCTGATTTAGCTCCTTCTGCAACTCCTCCAACCATCTGGAGTTCATGCCTCCTTCAGAGCAGCAGAACTAAAGCGCAAAATCTAAGAATGGGATATATTTGCATTAGTTCAGACTCCTGTTGTCTTCTTTTTTGAGATTTTAATTAGTATTTGTATATTCAGGAAAATAATGTTAATAAAGTTAGATGTTTAATATAGTCTTTTATGCTATTCTGAAATACCTACAAAGAAACTTGTTTGAAGTCTTAAAATACTTTGGTTTTTAAAAGCATTCATACTGGAAAAAATATAAATTTTGAAATGCATAACTTGTGGAGGAGGTAACAGGGCAATGTTTAAATAATGGTGTATCCTTTCCCTTTTAGGAAGAACCAAAGCACAGTGCATCTTTAATGTTGATAATTATTCATTAAAAACCTTAACTTGCTGAAGGACTGCCTCCTTCTTTCAGATGTGTTAGAATTAATATTAGCACTTCTTTGCCCTTGTTTCTGAATTATTTTAATGATGGCAGCCGCTCTGTCAAGTTGTCTGTCAAGATGTGGGTGGCAAGCTATTATTTCACTTCATAAATCATAATTTACAGGGGTTTTTATATCCATCTTGGGGATAAACACTTTATGCTTTGTGTTTTCAGCAGCAATATAAAATGTAATTGATACTTGAAGCAATATGTTAGAAATATGGACAGAGAAAGCCAGGAGAGAAAAATCACAAATGTTTAGTTTTTCTGTGGGTTGGTCTGCATACTGAGCATTTTTTCCATCTGATTTCATATTCTTAGCACTTCAACAGAGGATGATGATGAATTGCATTTACATGATTACTGCCTGTAGGTTACTATAAGGATGTTTAGTTACAGACAGTCAACAGACTCAACAAGGTTATTTTGTACTGTTTCTCATGCTGCTAAATAAACGTATCACTTTGTTCTATTGTCTTCCAGATTCATGAAAAACTGCATTATTATGAAAAACAGAACCCGATGCCCATACTCCATGGTGCAGCAGCCTTGGCAGATGATGTAAGTGTCCCCTGCTGAGATCACTGGTACCAAGTCTACCAAAACACTGTCTGCAAGCAGAACTCTTCATAGTGCAAACATATGAATGTAATCCTCTGAGCTGAAATCATAAGAAGCTGCAAAGGTTTCCAAAGCTTCTGTCATCACTGGGCTTGTTGCTGATATTACTTTGATTTTTATTCACTTGCATGTTATAAAAACATTGCATCTAGGTAGCCTCTTGTTCTGCTTTAGTAACTAAGCAATAAAAATTACAGGTTGGAACTCTACTGGGAGGGGAAAAGCTGTCAACTATTAGTGTTTTGAGAAAGTCACAGACAAGAGGAATGCTTTGGAAAAATAAAGACAAATGAGATAGCAGCACTGCTGACACAACATGAGAAATGACAAATAATATTACAGAAATGAAGCATATGAAATGCCTAGAATGGAGGTTTGTTGAAAAAAATCAAAACTATTTAAGAAAAAGTACAGTAGTGATTTATTGATATTGGAGCTTTCCAAATTACCTTCATAACAAAAAAATAAATTGTAAAAGTGGTCAGCATTGATGGAGTAGTTAATTTCCTGTTACTATAATTTTTATTTTCAAGAAAAAAATCCAACCTGCCATTTCTTGCTATTTGGTTAATTCTAGGATTCAGATGAATTGTGAACACACCTGTATAAACTATGACTGAACCTGAGGTAGGCCAGAATAGAGAAATGTTTAATAAACTGTGGTTTAGGTGAAATCCAGAAATCTTTGTTGCAATTGATGATGTCAGGTTGCTTTTTGGAAAAGGCAATATGTATTAGAATCCATTTCCAGTACAGCATGTTTGAAACTTCACATACTTTATAGATGTTTTAAAATATTAACTATTTATATAATTAATAGATTTTGGGTTTTAAATTTTACAAATTATTAAAAATTGTGAATTGAGATTGGTAGCATTATAGCAAAAAACTAAATTAGACTTATTTGAGACTATTGAAAAAAGGATACGTGGTAATTTAATCATGTTTCAGTAGGAGGAGAGCTGTATCCTGTAACATACCAACTATAATAATACATTAGCCTTGACATCAGGCATATATTAGTAATATTTTTTTAACCTTTATGTAGCTTTGAATAGTGTTGATAGTAATTTTGAAAATTAGAAAGCTGGTTGAAATTCTCTTCATTAAGTTCTTGCTGACATATTAATAATCCTTTCTAATATTTGTGTTATGGATCTCTGGGCTAAAATTCTTAATAAAAATAATTTATTATTTTTGGATACAAAACTTAAGTTTTTGATACTTTTAGAAACACTGAGCAATCTCATTCTTTGTTCAGACCCATTTAAAATGTATAGTTTTGAAAATCTCCAAATTAAAGTACTCTGTCACTCCTCAGTTGAGACAGGTTGGGGCTTTTAACCCTATGAATGTATTGTCAGGTACATATGGTAGTATTTTTAAGTGTACGTGTTGGGACATGATTGTGTCTAGGCATCTACCTACTTCAAATGTACAGCTTCTTTTTAATAGACGCTCTTGCTGCTTCTTCATTAATTACCTGTAGGTGAACAGTGGCTTTTATGGGCACTGCCTCATAGGATAGGGATGTCCTTTGGTGGCTGCAGCCAGGCTGGCACATTGCAGGATTTTCTATGTTTTGGTAGCTATCAGCAAATTTTGAGGGAGCAAAATTACATACAGTGGGCTTTGTAACTCCCAAACTCGTGAAGTTTTAGGTTTAAAGTGCTATTCATTTTTTGGCATGTTTGTCTGACTGGTCTGACTGGTCTGTCAACTTCAGGGATTTAAGAGCATGTTGGTGTTATTAAACACACATTCATTTCAATAGGCTTTAAATTACCGTTTTCTCTTCCTACTGATAGTAATTGTTCTATAGTTAAAGAAGGCAATATTTTTATTAGCAAGTAGATATTTCCTGCTTGATTTTAAACTCAAATCTGAGGTGCTGCTGTCATAAATAAAACTGTTTAAGGAGTGTGTTCTTATTCTTGTGGTGTTTTTTAAAGCAGTTTTAGAAGTAACAATTGTGGCAAGGCTTTTCTAAACATTTTCATATTCCCAGCTGCCATACCTTCTCTCTTCTCTTCCCCAGGGACTTTTAGGCTGAATTTATCACACATTCTGTTTTCCTCTTATTTTGAAGCAGTAGTGTCTGACTTAGGGCTCAATGATTTCATGCAAATGATGTAAACATCTCTTTCGATTCCAGCCAGGACAGTGTTAATTTTTTGCACTAGCTGACAGAGGACATGATTAGGACATGGAGGTTATTCCATACCACCTCGTGTCAGTTCAGAGTTTATGAAACGGACTCTCTTCCATGAAGAAAGGGTTTGTTTCAGTCAAGAAAAGGGGGTGGAGAGAGCCATCTGGTATTGTCTATTGTCAGGGGGTTTTTCCAGATGAGTAATTAATTTTCTTACACCTTTGTTATTAATATTGCTGCTATTACTTATTTAGTACAGTATAGTGCATTGTCTTATCTCATTGCCATTTCCATTAAATTGTTCTTACCTCATCCTGTGATCTTGCAATTGTGCCTCCAGTTGGAGAGGGAAGGGAAAGTGGTGCATGGTTTTAGTGCATAGGAGTACTAAATTGGAGAATACCATTCCTAAACCACGACAATATCACTGGCAGGATAGCTGTATACAGCAAATAAGGCCTCAAGGATGGTAGAAAGACTGTTCTAGCAAAAGAAGTTTCAGAACTTTCTCCAGAAGCTTTAAAGACCAGTCCTTGGTGCTTCCCACCTTACCAGCCTCACTCCACATCTGGCCCTCTCCCTTGCTTTTCTTCCCCTCTCTTTAGTGGCAGCTTTTCATAAAGAACTTGTTGAAATGTTGTGGTTCCCTCAAGAGATCATAGAGGAGGTTTTCAGACAGCTTTTGCTGCAGTCTTTAGCACAGGAGGAAATCACTGTGTCAGTGTGTCCCAAGTATGCCATGTACTGCTGCTGGTAGCTGTTTCAAATCTCAGCATTTTAACAACAACAACAATAATAGCAAACAAAAATCCAGTCTAGACCAGCTGAGGTGGTATCTGTTGGCTCATCTGAAAACACAATTTAGTCTTTCAATCTTTGTTTTCCTCCTCTTCTATCACAAAGTATTAAATGTGCCTAAAACCTTAATGAAAATATTTGGAAAATAGTATAAATCACATGAAGGAAAACAGGTTTTATATTATTTTATCTCTGAAAAAAATTTACTAAATTGTGAGATTAAAATGTCTGTTTAAGCAGTAATGAAGTATTTTTTCTCACTGTTCTAAACCTTACATATGTGCATTTGCATTTGTACCACCAAAGCCAATACCAGTTCTGCTGGAGTTAATACTTGTGCACAATTCATCTGAGGGAGAAATGCTGAAATGGTCATTCTGCTGAGTGGTTGCTTGTCTCCATCAGTGAAACACAAATTAATAGATTGTATTTTCCAGTGATGAGCAGCATAATCTAAAGAATGAAAAGACAACCAAGGGTAACCCATGTCATAGACCTGCTGTTATTCCTATCACAGAAAATTTTCAGCTTTGCAGGGCTTTTCCAACACACAAACTCAATTGCAGTCAGATTACCTCAATATTTGGCTTTGATTAAAATATTTAATCCTGATCTTTCCTACAGAGATTGTTTTCTGATCTTTTGGTATTAAGACACAAACATTGTTAATATTAGCACTGAGGTACTTGCTGGATGTTTTTAGCTATCAATTATAGTTAAAAGTCTGTAGGATGGTAGGTGATTAATTTTTGACACTGTTTAATTTGAAGGTTAAAAGAAAAAAAGGTATTCAAACCATATCTGATGTCTATTATGGCTTCTTCAAATAGATTTGTCTACTATATATAATTATGCAAAATATACATTTTTATATTTTTACATATATTTACATCCATTTATATTGAAAATGTATACAAAATGAAAGTACAAATTTAAAATTAGCTTGGACAAATAAAATTACTTGCTGCAAATAGCCAATCTTCCTTTGAGACATTTTTATGATACTGATTTAATGCAAAGAAAACAAGCGATTATCTGAAATCACATTTTGCATTATGAGCCATGTAGCTTCAGAATTTTAAACCAAAGTTCAGTGTTGTGAAATGCATTTTAGCTTTTCCTTCTTCTGGAAAAATAGTTTGAGTCTAAAATCTTGCAGTAAAATATGCCTCTTGGGTCCAAATTAGTTGAGAAGGGCATGATAAGAAAACCCAAGATGTGAGCTAAATGGCCATGGGATTAAAAGTTAAGCTGCTGCTCTATTGTTCACCAAGCCACAATTTTGTAGTTTAACCAAACATAAATTACTGATCTTGTTGTTAGGACATAGTTTGTGCATTTTACAGACTTGAATTGCTGATGACCTGTTATAAATTATATTATGATTAACTTGCTTCACGTTTAACAAGCTCCTTCCCATGTATGTGTAAACATAATAAAAGGTTCAGATTGCTTGCACTGTAGGGGCACTTTGCTTTCTTATCCCAGTCCTAAACAGCACAGCTACTGTGGGTTTTTGGAAGCAGTGTGGATTTCACCACCTCATTTGAAACTGTTTTTTATAGACAGTGTCAAAGTTTGATCCAGTCATTTTTACAAGCAGTTCTTTGTCTGCACGCAAAGGACCATTCACTTAAATGAAGTGCTGGGATTTGCCCCCTTTGCTATAAATCAGAATGTGATCTGGCTGCACCCTTGCCAAAAATGATTACTTGTGTTAAACTGAGCCAAAAGGCCTGGCTTAAATCTGGTCCACTGAGGGCCAGAAACAGAAGCGCGGTGATTGATGGTGTTTTCCTTCATGCTGGCTTCTGTTTGAACATGCTGGAAAGCAGTAACCTTGAACAAGATAGATTCTGGGTTGTCACTGATGCACTGGGTAAAACAACGCTTTGCTAATGGTCTTTGTGTTGATTCAATCTCCCACCCAGCTGGCTGAGGAGCTGCAGAGCAAACCACTGAGCAGTGAGATCAGAGAGCTGTTGAGACTCCTTGCAAAACCCAATCTCAAGGTGAGGATGAGTTGCACCTGCAAAGTGCATTCTGCATGGGTGTGTGCATCAGCTTCCTTGGGCTGTGTGTGGGTTTGTCTGCTTTAACAAGTGCCATTTAAGAATTTAAGTGCCATACATAAGAATGTATGCAGTGTTAATCAGAAATACCTGTGATGAAGAAACACATTAAATGTTGTCTGTAAATTATTATGCTATTACTTGTACTTATAAAAGAAATCACTTATTTGCAAAGGATATTTTTAAAAGTAGATTATTTCTTTTTCTTTTGCTATATTTTAATGCATGCTTCATAAGTTTGTTACAACTGTGCTTTTAGTAAAAGGTTGTCAGTCGTATCATTGATTGAACTGCATCATGCATAAAGAGTGCAGCCTGGTACTCAGGACAAAATTCATGATGGATAATGTTTTTAAAAACATCTAATTCTGAAATCTTTCTGTAAAACTGCTGGGGTTCTCTATGGTGTTTTCGAGGAACTTGATACCTTTTATCTGACAGTAGGCTGTAGAACCACCGAATCACTGAGGCTGGGTGGAGGTTGTCTGGTTCAATGTGCTGCTCTAAGCAGGGTCAGTACTGAGTACACAGTACGTTGCTGAGGGCTTTTCCCATCAGGTCTTGGAAATAAAGGCCTGGGAAAAAACATTCTACAAATCTTCTGCATGGCCTCTTCCAATTCCTAATTACCCTCCTAGTAAAAGCTGTTTCCTTATATCCAGTCAGAATCTCCCCTATGCATCATTGTTGATGCACAGAATCATATTTTTTCCATTGCTAAGATAAAGAAGACCTTGGTGCTTTAGATGCTTATTGAAATGGTAATTAAATGTAGCAGTTGATAAGTTGAAATGAAAACTGCAGAGTGGAAAGGAACTCCTTTAAAGACAGTTGCACTTTTATCTTAAGTATAAATACTGATCTCAAAACCTGAGAAACTATGGTATCTTCAAAGTGCTACAAAATTGTAAAGATCAGTTTTTAGACGATTTTTGCACTGATACTTTTTCCATAGTTTGTAAAATGACAAGCTGTTTTTTCTTTGAAGGAGTAAGTAATGCCAAGGGCATATTAGAAGAGGAATGGTTGGTGCATGAAATTGCAGAGATCCTAACCTTCACTGTAGGTATTTTCTTAGTGATTGTCCACATGTGCTTCATACTTCTGAAGCTTTGGTGGGCTGAGTCTGAAGACAGCTCCTTTGCCACAATGGTGTCTCTCCCGCTGCTTTTCTTGCTTTCTCTCACTCATTCCCTCACACACTTACTCTCGCTGTCTGTTCCTTGGTAGCAGTGAAAGGCAATGTGATAATCTTAGTGGGATTTCAGGGAAACAAGTGCCTCTCCCTCAGAGTGGTTAATGTGATTGAACAACTGCAGTAACTTAGCAAATGTCTTTCTTGGCTGCAGGGGGAGATCCCAGCTGCAGGGTACCAAGCCCTTTGCATGGCCAGACTGCCTAATCCTGTGCAAGGCGCATGATTCCTTGCCCTGCATGGGCCTTGCAGGTGTTTATGTTGCACCTTGCAGGTGTTCATGTATTGTAGGGGTAAGAACTGATGGTATGCAAGGTATTTTGCTTATCCATTATCTTCTCCCCCTGGCGTGTCATGGCAAACATGCCTCAGAGTGATGGTAAATTACCACTGCTCCCTCCTCTGTCACATTGGCCAGGTGACTGTGCTGTATTCAGTCAGAGGCTGTAGTTGAGATTCTTCTCTTGGTCTCCCCTGCTCTCTCTTGGACAGAAAAGGAAAGGAAGGACATTTCTGGGACTCAGTACTTGCAGGTCCTCCCCAGAAATGTCCTAGTCCCTTCAGTTGTGTCTGAGCTTATACCATGTCTTACATAAGCTTTTCTAGCCCTCTGCTATTAGTTTTATGGCTAGAGAGGGTTTCTTGGTTTTGTTCTAGATTCCTGGGACAAAATGATGGCTAGAACAGCTCTTTTTTACACACCTGAAATTACTTGGGATAACTGATCTATCTTTTCCAATGATGTTCCATAGACTTTATCTAAAAACATATATGGCTTAATTTGGGATTGACTTAATGTGGCTGTACATTATTTTGCAGGGGAAACTTTCCTCTCCTGACTAGATTTATAACTGCAATGTTAGCTGGAGCCAGGAGAGCTTCCACTTTCCTACAGCTCTGCTCTAATGTTTATGGCATGGTGAAGGATGCTTAGGATTAGTTTACTGCACTACAAGTCACTGCCTCCACAAGTCTGATCATGTAAGGAGAACTTTGCAGGTTTGGTTGATGGGCCAAGAAAGGCTGGGAGAGGTGTCTAATCATGTCTGATTCAATAAATATTTCTATTATTTTGATTCTGTATTAAATATTCTTTTGTTGAATATGTTTCTAAGTGTTTGCATCTGATAAGTAAAACTTTGACAAGTTTGTGGTGCTTGTCATTTTCATCCACAGAGAAGTTTTCTAAAGAAGAAAGTAGTTTCTCTGAGGCAGTTATATTTATCAGACCTGAGAATTTCAAAATGTCCTAGAAGTAATTCCAAGGTTTTGTCAGGTGCATTTTCTTCTGGAAAGAAAAATAAATTGGGCATTTCTATTCTGCTAAAAACTGCATGAAGTATCCAGTTACAGAGTGGGTTTTTTTTCCCTGCTCTCAAATGTGGCATCGCTTACCGTAATTAAATGAACTAATAATGATTGTGGTTTATCTTTTCTGATTAAAACAGAACTCTGGAAGTAGAACAGAGCATGTAGCTCTGGGAAATCAAGTGGATTTGTTTAACTGTGTGTTAGACATTTCATTTGCATTCTGGATTTAAAATATAATTGTGTAGCCCTGTGGATACAGGCCAGCCACACTTATTATTTTTAATTTTCAGCACTGAATAAGGACTTAGGGTTTGCATTCTTTAATCTTGCTTTACCTTGTTAAAGATATCAAGAAACAGAATAGTATTTCCATACCCTAGAACCTAAATCCAGTTGAATACTCTATTTTACTTTTAAGCAGACCAGAAATTAGCCCTTTGAAATAGAAGTATAGAATAACCTAAGTTGAAGTGTATGCACAAGGATCATCAGAGTTCAGCTCCTGGCCCTGCACAAAGAATCACACCATGAACCTGAGAGCATTGACCAAATACAGTCAACTGTCACTCTTGATGCTGTGACCAGTTCCTTGGGGAGTCTGTTCCAGTGCCCAACCACCCTCTGCTGTCCAACCTAAATATCCCCTGACACACCTTCAGGCCATTCCCTCAGATCCTGTCACTGTTCACCACAGAGATGAGCTCAGTGTCTGTCCCTCCCCTTCCCCTCATGGAGAAGCTGTTGACTTCACTGAGGTCTCCCCTCAGTCTCCTCCAGGCTGAACTGACATAGTGACCTCAACCACTCCTCATGAGGCTTCACCTCCAGGCCTTTCACCAGTCTGAAACTGCACTTTCAGAAGTCTAAAATACATTTGCAGAGAGCTGGGCAGGCAGACTCAAGGCTGATCTGTTGGTGTTTCAGATCACCCAAATATGTCCTCGCCTAGGTCCAAACACCATTCTGACCAGAGCTACACAGCACTGCCTGCAGGCCGGCCTGGCCTGGCCATGAGTGTATATACCTATAAGTTTTGTGTCTTCAAGATATACATTTTATTGCAATTTAATAAAAACAACCAAACAAAATGCCCATGCACCTCACACACAAACACAACAATGTAAATTCCAATACATTTTGTTGTGGTTATTTACCATCATTTTAATTTTGACTTGTTAAACTCTTGAGCTGTTTTAAACATGAAGACTAGAATGTATAGTTGGGATATACATCAAGAAATGGTGTTTCTGATTTAAGAGAGGACACTCCTGTGAGTGCTTTTATACAAAATATGAGTAGCATAAAGAAATAAGTGTTCTCAGCATCAGTGATTTATAATTTGGCAAAATTTATGGAACTTATGTGATAGCAAAAAATAATGTCTTTAAAGAGGAGAGTTGTAAAAGAGGAGAATTCTGAAAATAATGACAAAAAGTTTAAAAATTATGATGTATCAGATCGGCACCAGTGCAATTGAGAGAGATGTCTTTATAAAAATTTGGGGTTTTTATGAATCTGAAAGTATTGCTGTTGAGAGCACTGAGCTTTTTTTTTTTTTTTAAATTCTCTATAGACAAAATATTTTTCATTGTCATGCAATTGTGTAAATTGGAACATATAATTGGAAAACTAAGATTAAAGATGCTAACACAAAATACACCTAAAAGGGAATTTAATTTTGGCTATTTAATGAACGTGTCACAAGCAAGTTAGTGAAATGGTCTTATCTGTTAGTAGGGATGGAAATGGGAAGAAGTGAAGTGATCACTAGAGTAACTCTGTCAGTAACAGGGCAGAAGTCCAGTGAGGAACACTGTAAGAAAGGAGATGTGCAATCACAGATGATCAAATTCTTTTCCATGTTTAATTAAAAACTGGCTTGAGTAACTAGGTTTCAGTTCCTTTTCTAACAAGCTGGAAGAAGCTGTGTTCTTTTTGGGATGGTGCCATAACAGAAGAGCATAATTGTTATTTATTTTTTAAATTATTTGAAAAACTGAAACAAATAACTATAGGAATTAACATTTTACTTTATTGCCATGGCTGTAAACAAAAAAGACTGTTAAAGAATGAACCATCTCAGTCCATTGAACAATGTTATCCCAATTACACTAACTTTGAGACAGACTTGGGACATATTCAGATATAAATAACATTTGCTTTGTCTTTATAACAGCAATTACCTTTGTGATCATTAAATATCAAAATAAGCGATTTACCATTGAAGTTAATCTCTATTAGGGTAAATTAAGTGGTTTTAATTATATAAAATTGTCCTTTGTGGTCATTGGTGTAATGGGCAGAACAATAATTATTTCAAAAGTTAATGCCACTGTGCTAAAACTACTCTGAAGAATGATTATACCTTTATGACCTGGAGGAAACAAAGCCGCTCCAATGGTGGTTCTGCCTGTTTCAGTGGAGTTTAAATTCT